GAATTGAGAAACTTCCTAACAATGAGGACAATTAACCAGTGGAAAGCTTGCCTTCATCACTGGAGGTTTTTAAGAAGAGACTGGATAGCCACTTGTCTGAAATGCTATAGCGTCTCCTGCTTGAGCAGGGGGCTGGACTAGAAGACCTCCAAGGTCTCTTCCAGTTCTATTCTGATAAACATTGTCAAATTAAGCAAGGGTCTAATTATAAGACAGCATAAGTGTTCAGTTGCCCATGTTATTTTTTAATGTGGGAACTGAATCTAAGTACCTATGTTTAAACTGAGTTTAGTTTTTGAAAAATGTTTATGAAGAAATAAGGTAATATCCCCATCTCTTTTTTTTTCCAGTGTAAGGAATTGTTTATATCCTACAATACCCCAACCTAAAGTGACTCCAATTTTTAAGGTAAGGTTATATCATTAAGAAATTGCACTTAAAATGCAAGAAATTGCACTTTCTCAACCTGGTGCCGTCAAGACGTTCTGATAATGCAATTGCTGGAGTTCCCATCCAGGATGTGGGAGTTGGGATTCATGGATGTTACACTACATTTAATAGAGGGCAACAACAGCATCACAGTATTGCAATACAAAGTCCATCTCTTCTGCATTAAGTTTTGATGTTGCATTGATATACATAAAGGGCAGAGCTTGTACCCTGATGCTGAATGCTGAATTCCTCATTTTTACTAAAGTAGTAGACTTTGTTGACACCTTGGAGCATTAGGATAAAAAGCAGGTTCATTTTGTATAGCTTTTGCAAAAACAAATCTGTATATTGCTCTAAACATTTTGGAGATAGTGTATGAAAACAGATTAAAAGAATTAGAAAAAAAGGTAAGGCCCCCCATTGAGGAATATCTACTTTATATTCAGAATTTTTATTTATATTTTGTTAGGGGACTCAAGTGTATCATTTTCTGAGTGCATTCTTTAGATAAAAATGTATTTTTGCCAAAAAAAGTTATTAGCTATTATAAATGAATACCTAATTGATATACACAGATTTAAAAGTAATTCTGATAATTACCTCAATAGCCATGTCAGGAAAAGTGAATTGGAATTGGTAAATTTTCCAAGTTTTCCAACACAGTATTCAGTATAAATATGTAGGGCTTATACTTACTGTTTTCTTACTTAGGTTTTTAGTGGTTAGCTACAAAAATGATGGTGATGGTTACAGTATGTATTGGAATAATAAGTGTCAGAAAATAATTAACTGATCTGAGTATAGAAAAAAGGCCTGTGGGCTTCATCTGTCTTTTCATGAGTGACCATCACTTGTCCAATGTGCTAACCTCTCCTCTTCCCTCGTGACCCCAAGCTTGATTTTAAAAAAAAGCAGATTCTACCTTCTTTTAAATAAGAGGCAATTACCACTCAATGAAGGATGGACAGACCCCTGTCCTTGAATGGAGGGTGAGAATATTGCATATTCTTATATTTGAATATCTGTTTTTCACTCTGTATTCTGTCTGCTCTTTATGTGTATTTTTAATTCAGTTGTTATTCATACACAGATGAGTCCTGGAATAACAGAAGTGAATGATATAATTCCTGACCAATTAGTCATGCTGGAGAAGCCTCAGGAATTCAGTCGCAAACAATCTACTTTGGGAATGCTATTAGAAAATTTGAGTTACTCTCAAACCACCTATTGCCCAGAAATGCAAACAGAAGAGAGAACAAACCAGAAATTCAACTCGGGACTAACATCCTACAAACCTCTCCAAGACTTTGGTTTTACAACCAGCCCTAACCCCTGCACACCAGAAGCACACCTCCATTCGAAAGACCATTTGAATTACCTCTACCAAATGGAAGTGCCTCACTCTATGATCCAGGGAACCAATTCTACTTGTCCTATACATTGGCTAGATTACAGACCTCAGTGCAGCACAATTTCCAGAAGAAATACAGACTATTAGATTAATATCCATATTAGTTGTTATATTCATTTCAGTTCACTATGAGCAGCTTCTAAGTAAACAGGATACAGGGCATTATAATATCTGACCATGAAGGAATGAATTGGGAAAATTCTGAAGAGGAAAAGATGGGACAGTCTTTTGTATTGACTGAAGATTCATGCCATTCTAGACCAAAAGTGGGCATGACATGCAGTAATAAGGGAACTTGCATACTTGAAAAAAAGAACCTCTCCCTCATGTTTTGAATGTGAAACAAGATGTACAGGATTGTATCA